TGTAAATCTGGTAAATCTTGATAAAGAGTGATCAAACTTGGCCAGTAATTTGTGCAAGTGTTCCTCAATCAAATAAATTTAACAAAAAAAATTTTATGTCATATAGTTGTATAGATATAGCCATTTTGCGTTCCAGCCTAGTGCAAAACTAGCTTTTCGTTCTTACATTTTCAACTGTAAATCCGGTAAATTTTGATAAAGAATGTTCAAACTTAGCCAGTAATTTGTGCAATTGACTCTTAATCAAATAAACTTAACAAAAATATTTTAGGTTCCATAGCTGTAAAGATATGGCAATTTTATGATTCAACCTAGTACAAAATTAGCTAATACAAGCATAGTAGAATCGCCATATCTTTACAACTATAGAACCTAAAATATTGTTGTTAAGTTTTTTTGATTAAGGGTCAATTGCACAAATTACTGGCCAAGTTTATACACTCTTTATCAAAACTTATGCGATTTACAGTCAAAAATGTAAAATAGTAGCTAATTTTGCCTTAGGTTGAATCGTAAAATTGCCATATCTTTACAGCTATGGAACCTAAAATATTTTTGTTAAGTTTATTTGATTAAGGGCCAATTGCACAAATTACTGGCCAAGTTTGATCACTCTTTATCAAGATTTACCAGATTTACAGTAAAAAATATAAAAAAATAGCTAATTTAGCACTAGGTTGCATTTTAGAATCGCCATATCTTTACAACTATGGAACCTAAAATATTTTTGTTAAGTTTATTTGATTAAGGGTCAATTGCACATAAAACAGGCAAAGTTTCAACAATTTTCGTTTAGTCTTGCTTGAGATAAGGTTGAAAAAGTAAGAATGTGAAAAATCGGACCTAGTTCCGTTTTCAAATGCTCATATCTCGGACCTGGAATCTTCACAAAATTCAAAGAGGTTGTTTTTCTGCTTTCACAAAATAGCACAAAAAACCCATATATAGTACATCACTCAACTCGTTAGGTCACCGTTCTACTTGATGGACACACTTTTCGAAGATGTCACAACTGATTGGTATGTGTTCACTTAATGCAAACTTTCCATGCTCAATAATTGCAGTGGCTGCAGTAAGTCATGTACTTAATTTAATTACATCATTAATTAATTGTTGTTTCTTTATTTAGAATGCTGTTCATGAGAATGTAGAGCCAAATAAAGATGGTTCACTAGTTTTCTGGAAGTGTAAATAAATTAAAATGCACTTTTTAAGAAATACTATTTTTAAAGACCATGGATCAAATATCTTGGTGTCTACTTAGACAGCAAATTAAACTGGAATTTGCATGTAGATTTTGTTGTAAGTAAGGTGATTAGGTCCTTTTGGGCTTGTAGATCAATTGTTGGTAAAAACTGTGGATTAAAACCCAATATGAGCTATTGGCTGTATGAGCAAGTCATTCTACCAATTATGTACGGATGTGTTGTTTGGTGGCATAAAATGAAACAAGTTTATGCCTCTCAGAAAATTGGAAAACTAGAATAGCAGAATTGACAATTTGTGTTGCTTGGAAAATTACTCCAAAGCTGGCTTTAGATAGATTTCTTGAGCTCTCCCCACTTCGAGTGAGAATCGAAGCTGCAGTTCAAACAAGTGCATCCAAATTGAAGGTTAATAAATTATGGGTTAATAACTGGATTTCTACAGGTCATATGGAATCAAATCGATTTCTAAGGAATGTAAGTTTATTTACCTTAGAATCGGATCATATATTGTTAAAATACGTTTTTGACAAACCTTTTAAGGTTGTTGTGTCAGAAGATAATGCTGCTGAATCTTGTAATTTGTTGGATAATAACTGCATACATGTATGTTTGTGTTTACTGATGTATCAAAGTCAGAAAGGGGTGTTGGCATCGGTTTGTTCAGCAATAATCTGAGTTTGAATTCATCCTGCAAACTGCAAGATCATGCTTCTGTCTTTCAGGCAGAAGTTCAAGCTGTTTGTGAGGGTGCTAATTACTGTTTGGATATGGATTTGAAAGGCTGTAGGATTTGCTTTCTTTCAGATTGTCGATCAGCTTTGACGGCTTTAAACAATTGTTTTGTGAAGTCTTTAACAGTTTCTTGATTGTATTTCTTGTTTAACAGCATAGGGTGACCATCTAATTTTTATGAAAATACAGGACATTTGATAAATTTCCAAAGGAAATTTTTGTGAAAAAAATACAAGACCTGGAACAAAATTTTCAAATTTATACAGGACAGGGTTTTGAAATACAGGACTGTCCGTTGTAAAACTACGCAGATGGTCACCCTAGACATTATTGGATTTATTAAGGACATTGGAATTCTAGCATAGGGGACTTGGGATAGTACAACAGATCATCGATCGCAGTGCCGCTTTTGCTAGCAAAACCCTACATTATATTCTATTCTATGGATTAAAAAAAACTTTTTTCACAAAATTCTATTTATCTGTAGAACTGCATTTATGCATGTTTTAACCACAACACGTTTATCGAGTGGATTTTTTGACAATTTTCGTTCATTGGGGAACAATTTTTTTGGTTAAAGCTTAAAGTTCACAGAATAAAATATTTCAAATTTTGAATAGTCGTTAAAATAGTTTAGGCACAGTTTATGAGTGGAAATTCAGTAAAGAATGAAGCTTAATTATTAATATTGAACAATGCGAAGAAAAATATGCGAGCAACTTTAGAAAAACTTTTTCTTTCAAAATTCTTATCAACAAATATTCATCATTCATTGCAAATCTTTTGTCAATTTCTTGAATTCATTAAATATTCATCGACAATTTATCAAGAAGATTTCAATTTCAATTGTGCATGTTCGATTGAAATTCACGAAATCTTTTTTATTGGACGAAATTTCAGCAAGTAATTCAGCAACAATGCAGACGAGTGATCAACACCGTGTTCAACTGATCAAGCAATTTGAGGTGAGAAATGTCATAATCCAAAGATTAATGCTTAAAAAGCTTGACAAATTCATAGCCAGATTCTGTTTAAATTCATCCTTTATTCATGTTTTATGACTTCAAAAAGGTCACGAAAATTATATAGTGTACTGCAAAAAATTTAAATTAAAAAATGAACCGTGGACCAAAAAAAAACTGCTTTATAAAGTTATTATGGGCATTTTAGTAAAAGAGTGATAACGAATAAATTGTTGCTGATAGTTGGGGGTAGGTTAATCTAGATAATACAACTGTGAATCAAAAATTTTAATAATAATAACAAAAGTAACAAAGAAATTTTATTTTCAATAATTCTTTTATTAGCGTATAATGTCTAAAAATGGTTTTTTTGTCGTCATCTATTGAAAATTCTCATCTTTTAAACTTTATTATTCTTAAATGATCTTTATTTCAATCTGTTAAAATGACTAATTTCTTTTTTTTTCAATTTTGATCAAAATTTGTGTAACAAAATTGTTATTGATAATATGGATTTTTTTTTATTCATTCCAAAAATGCTAATGATGTTTAGACAGACTATATTTTATCATGGTTTCTTTATTGTGAATTGATAAGCTTTTAAATATTCCAAAATAATGATATTATTGGGTATTTATGTGCTGTTTAATGTAATTTTTATGTTATGAAACTTCATGGAAATATTCAAGATACTAGTTTTGGGGAAGGACTTAATTAGTCTTGAAGATGTTTGATCAAAATTCTATATGCTGTGAATGTTTTTTTTTTGGTTACTGTTAAGAGGAGACTTAATATAGGGATTTGTGAATTTATGTTCAATTAAAGCTTGCAGTGGTCCTATATTAAAAGCTTCAGAAAAAGTTAGATATTAGAAATTTAAACTTGATTCCTTTGGTTTGTAGCATTACATTTTACTTTAAATTTTCTGAGTAATACAGCTTTATCTAACTGTTATCTTCATTCTATGTGAATTTAAATGAGCATTTAAATTCTGATCAAGCATTATCAATAACCAATGACGAAGGGAAATTCATAAATGATGTCCACCAAATCTGAAAGACCCAAAACAAGCCCAAAAATTTATTTTGATTATCATACTGCGAAAATACCAAAAATTAAAATTTTGGATACAAAAAGTTTTGGAAAATTATAATCCATCTCCATATTTTTAGAGTATTCAGTATAAGAACTTCTGTCTAAAAATTTCATTTCATTCTAACATTTAGTTCCTTTAATATATATATTGTGAATTATTGAGCTTTAACATTTATTTTAAGCATTTCCGTCGTTATATCTCACTTCATAATTTCCTTCGACTTTACTCCTTCCATTATTATAATTTACAAACTATTCAAAAAAAAGCTTAAAGCATTGAATTGTTGAATTTTTTAACTTCATTACATTTTTCTTCTTTTTATATATATAATTTAATTAATTACTTCAATATTATACAAATTTTAATGTCTCATTCTTCAATTCTAAACAATTTCACGTATTTACAATAAATTTAGATTGATTTTGTTGCACGGAATAAAAGAAATTGAAATTAAAAGTCTCAAATGGTAAAAGTCAAATTCAAGAAGTACTCTTCTTTTCAATCAGCACAAGAATAAGTCTTTTAATAGACTAATTTGAATTGAAGAATTGGGTGAACAATTCTAAGTGAGTTCTGAATACCAAGTCACAATGTCATTATGCAGCAGCAAGATGAAATCTGTTCCATGACACATACGACATTTTAAATTGTCACACGAATAAAACTTTTTTGATGGATTGCATGCTTAATGTAGATTCTTGTGCTTTTTGAATGAAAAAGTAAATCTTATGCAGTATTGCATAAATGCAGAACTAAGCAAAATAAGAACACAGTAGCTTAATTAGAATTTAAATAAAACTTCGTTGTAAAAAAGAATAATTTGTGCCAATTTTCCCTTTTGAGTATCAAAAATCTTATTAAAATGGCAATTTTAAGCAAAACATGAAGTTGACTTGATAAAATTTCTAATATTTTTTGTTTCCGAAACTTTATTATTTTTATTAACTGGTAGTTTGGTAATGTTTTTTTTTATATTTCATTTGACACAGTCATCATAAAAGGGAAGATTCTTCACAATATAAAATATTATTATTATTTTTTCCTATAAATGTGTGTATGTGTGTGTCTTTTTAATGAATGCATTGCATGTACATCCTAATAGATAATTTATCATTTCGATGCAAAGTACAGAAAAATGCTTGATTGTGAGCAATGGAGTATATTCTTAATACTTAGGATATTTAATTTAGGTCAATTTCCATCACTCGTACTCTTACCACGAAACAGTGAAAACTATTTCTTTTTGTGTTCACCTTTTGACTTTTCAGATTTCTCGCTTGGTCAAGCAGATGTTTCATTTGGTTCCATCCATTCTTCGTCACTATCGTCGCTATCACTATCCGAATCAGACAGCTCAATTGCAACGCGACGAGCAAGGATTGAAGCAACATCATGTAAATTGGATTGCTTTTGATGACGAATGTCGTCACGCATTTGCTCAACTTTACGTAATTTAATGCCTACAACATAATACAAGAATATAAGAGGTTTGATATTAGCAGGTATTCTTATTATTTTGTTAATTCTTATATTGATTTTATTCACCTTCACGAATTTCTCGCATCAAATCTCCTTGATTGTATGTAGAACGGTTTTGTTGTGGCTCAACTTTACGCAACGAAACGCCTGTCATGAGGGAGAAGTCAAATACACAAATTACATTTTTCATTCGCTTTGATTCTTTGAGGAAGGTATTTATGCAATAACAGCAAGAGTAAAATTTGTGATTTATTACCTGTTTCTATTTCTTTTAATAGGCCAGCATGATTAGGTGGCGTGATAATATTACTTGGCTTATTATTTGCGATTCCATTTGATAAATTTCCATTCAGCATTGCTGGAGGTGGAGGTGCCATCTGAAATTCATGAATATACTTTATTAACAACTTTTTGAGATTAAAAATCAATATTAAATCGAATCAAATCTAGTGATAATAATCTTTGATGCAAAAGGGCCAGGCAGGAAAGAAACTAATATTTACCGGTGGCGCGGGAGGAGCATTGGATGGAATATTCGTTGCGCTATGTGGTGGTGACATTTGATACTAAAAAAATAATAATAATAACAAGGATATAATCTCTATCGGTGGTTAAAGAGTAAGGAAGGATGAATGTTTTAATTACTTGAGGAACTGGTGGCGGTGGCGGAAGATCATTAATATCAATATTGTTAATTTGACTATTTAACTGTGCCATAACATGATTATTCAAATCATTACGCTGTGGAGAGTCTCCTCGCTGATTAATCGAAGTTCGTCCTTGTTGCCTCATTATGCCCCCATTAGTGGCAACTTGAAGCGGTGACGAAATGTTGCTGATTAAATCAAAAAACAGTTTTCGTCATGTTACAGAGTCAAAGAAACAAAAAAAAACACAAATTTACCTTGGAATTGGCGGTGGAGGAGGTAAAACATCACGTCCTTGACTCATACTTCGTCCTCGAGTTGGTGTATTAGCATTTGATGCATTTGGAGTGCCTGAATTTGAGTTTGATGAAGGAGGTGCGGGTGGTGGCTGTGTTGGCCTGATTTTACCGCCTCTTGATGGAGTTCCTGGTGCATAAGGACTTTCAATTTGTTGAGGTTGACCATACATGGAAGAATTATAAGCTGAGTCATCGTTCATTTGCTGTTGATAATTCATTTGCTGTTGCTGTTGATAATGTGGGGATGGCGGTGCGTATCCATCTGATCCACCTTCCGGATAGCTACGTCTTAACTCAATTGAATTTGGACGATTAGGTCGTCCATCGAAATAGTCAGTAGTACTATAAATTGGAACTTCTTGTTGATTTACAATTGAATTTGGTGTTCGATATATTACATTATTTGGCATCAATGTTTCCCCATGTCCAATTGCTATTTGTCTTTGCTTTTCACGCGTATTCGTTGGTTGTCTTGGTCGCTTATTTTGCCGCTTTCCACCACTACTCGTTTCCGGTTTTTGCTTATGCTTTTGTTTATAGCGATCATTCTTCATTCTCTCAGTTTCTTGCAATATATCTTGTCGCCATAAATCAAAGAAATAATTTGGATCTGTGTAGAATTTTAAGCCATCTTTACCATCGTCACGATAGCAATTTAGTTTATCTAAAGGTGGTGGTTTATCGCACGTTTGATATGTCTCAAGCATTGCCGTTGGCATTGTGGCACGAGAGAAAATATCTTGATCAAATTGAACTGCACTCTTAAAAGCTTTCTTTTTATGAATATCCTTTAGAGATACATCCTTTACTTCACTATCAAGTTGTGTCACTTTTATCGATAACCTATCTATTCTACCTTGCAATGAATTCGCACGATCTGCCATATTATTTGTTTCTCTTGCTAGCTCTCCAAATAAATCCTCAGAATGTCGTGCCAGTGACGACAATTGTCTCATTATATTCGTAAGTGTCGTATTGGTAACTGTCTCCAAATCTCCTGGAAGTTCATTACGTTCATACACTGAACGTGCGACAAAAATTGGTTCTATAACACGCTTCGGTAATGGCATGATGAATTGCTAATATGATATCTGTCTTCTCTCAATCAACTATTGATATTTATTTGATTTGACTTTTCTTTTGTTCTGCTTCTTATTATTTTCAATGTTTTCTTTCGGTGTCAAATTGACGTTTTTTCCTTTTACATCATGAATTAAATGTTGATCACTAAAATGACACAAATGAAATAGAATGATTGCATTATGAAAATATATTTGTTTGGGACGAGCAAACATTTAGATTGATTGAAATGAATGAATACTTCCGTCATGTCGATTTGGATGTTAATAAATTTCAGGTGCCCAAAAATAGAAATAGGGTTGCAACTTGCAAGCAAAAATTGAATTTATGACATCATTGTGGGCGGATAATTTTGTTAATTTAGGATGTTCCTAAATCATTGCTATGAAGTATCATGTTATGCCACAACTGATGATTTTGTACGGCATACACGAGTAACCCGCTTACTTTTAAAGACAGAAATCGTAAATAATCCATTTTGGCTGAATCATCGTTAAAAACATCATGTTCAAAGTAAAATTCTTAATAAATGCGTAAGAGCATTCCACAATAAAAAGAGATGAATAAGTGTCATAAAATATGAAAATGCATTCAACAGACATCCACAATTATGTAATAGAAATATAAGTGCATGCATGTAAGCGCCAATTAAAACAGAATTTACAACTTCCATATAAAATGTCAATTGTCTCGTATGAAGCCATAGTAAATAATATTATTTTCATTTACATATATTTAACACTAAACAATACGTCTATTGACTGAACAAGTTGAAACCATCAAGTGGGTGAAATTTAGCATTTAATAATTTTTTTTGTAACTTTATATTTTTGTGATTAGCATACAAGTGCAGGAATTTAAAGGATTTTTTTTTTTGAATGACACGCATATCATTTACAAAAAATAAAATATGTTAAGTGTCAATTATTCCTTCTATTTGCTTTATCCTAATTATTATTGCTTATTTTTAGTAAGACATTATGAAAGAACGTTCTTACTTTCGAATCATTTACTCCATGATCGCAATAAAAAAGATGTAGTCAAAATAAATGGAAGAGACTAAAAAGCCTAATATCACTATAATTTGGGGTGTCATTTATCATAATAACACATATTATTTGTCACATGCATACACAAAAAAGGAATGCTATGTTTAGGCTCAATTACCACAACATAATGACATTAAACTTGGCTAGAGGAACTTGAATAATATTTTACATGTTAAGTGTTCGCATTATAACACAAATAATGCAAATAGGAACCTATATAATCAAAATAATGATAAAAATAATAGAACAGCCCTGAGAACAGCACAAGTTCTCATCAAACTTATTTACATTGAACATGCAATCCTCAACTAACAAGATGATCAATTAAAAAGCAATTAGTAGTCGAAACGAAAATATATTAAAAAGCTCCTACTTCTTTAGATCAATGAACTGTACGATTTATTTTCCCGAATACTTTTTTAGGTTAGCAGGTCATTAGAGTTGTGAAAACTGTATTGATTAGACGTGAAGTGAATGTGTGCATACGCTACACATTTCCCGCAATAATTACGTTTATCTAGTCTTTTTATTGTTTCTATTTTGTTTACGGCATGGCAAGTAGATTTTAATGTTTACTACCAACAACTTCCCTACATAGTGGAAAAAATAAGCGGGTTCTATGTTTAAACATGAAATGTTTATGCTAAATTCGCTTTATTTTCCTTTCAAGTAAAATCGTGAAAATATTGGTTCATAAATGATTACCAAAACTTGACTAAATTCAAAACAGATCTGAAATAGTCAATTCGTGTCAAGCTCTAGTCTTAAAAAAACTTCAAACAAAGCCAAAATATTCAATTTTTTTATGACTTATTCTTATTTCCACAATTGAGCTTATGAATCACAAAGTTATTTATTAATAAATACACAATCTGTGGCTCCCGTCAATTTATTGCATTTAATTTATTAAGAGGAATATGAATCTGAGCATGTGTATCATTTCAAAATTGCTTGTTCGCCGTGAATTTGCATATAACTCATTATTTCAATCCATGTTTATGGATGTTCACGATTTAATATAAATGCAAAATTCTCTTGGTTTATTCATTTATGATGTTCATCAAAAAATCAGCCAGTCAGGGGGATCTTTACACAAAATATTTAAATGAATTTTTATTTCATTTAAGTGTCATGCAGCACCAGATCTAACAATTGTGGGACATCATATCTTAACGACCCCCATACCACTAAGAAATTAATCAAAACCTGAGAAAATGTTTGGTTCAAAAAAATTCAGGCTTTGTTCTTTGTGTTGAGTTTCATCCGCTTACATAACTGTTTCGAGCGTAATCAAATTGATTTTATCTTCTTACACCAGATCTACTAATTTTTGTGTCTTCTTTACTCTAGTTTGATTTTCGCAAGACTTAGATTTGACGACTTTTTTGAGTCTTAAAAAGCTATGCTTGTGTTTAACTTTAGTTCTTATATAGTCCAGATTTGTTTGATAGAACTTAACTGAGAAACTCTTATGGTTGACAGTTCGAGTATTAGATTCTAATGAGAACAAAAGTTTAAGGTATAGGGACATTGGACAATGATGTCCTGATTTTTGGACAATCCAGTTTTCCATTAATGTAATACTCTTTATTTGTCTTATAGTCCATTAATAATTAACATATCTATTTAGAACTTTATGTAAAGATCTCAAGATGGCTAAGGGCAATTCCATTAGTAAAGGGAACTGAATTTTTTTTTCTTCACTAATAAACATGTGAAAAATCTTTTGAAAATAGTAAGTGCTTCTATATTTACAAATGTAAACTTAATATTTAACAATCAAGTCCTAATGAAATTACCGATGTGTCAAAAGATGAAAGGTGCTAACATCACTATTTTTATTATATTGTGCAAAAGTACGCTTCCTCTCACGCTTATAATAATGAAAATGTTTATATTTTTTTTTTTATGAGGAAGCCTAAGTTCTTGTAGTATTCACGCAAATTCTACTGAATGTAAAATATGTGAGACCGATAAAAATATTATGAATAGTAGGAATTTTCCACATTTATAGAATTCCAAAAAAAGATACTCTTTTTGTTTCTTTTGTCTTGTCTCAAATGAATGGAATATCGATTTTGTTTTCCTATTTTACGAGAGCACTGCAATCACTTTTTATTTTATGAGAGATGCTGATGAGAATGTTGAGAGCTCAAATCGTCGACATTGAAATAATAAAAATGTTGATAGAACTTATTTAATAAAAAGTGATGGTAATTCGTTTAGATACAAATCAACCAATTGATTCAATAGGTCGAATGTCACTGACTATATTTGGTATTGATTAAACAACAACAAGAAGAATTGATTTATTAAACAAAAACACACAACTTTAATTTTATGACGTAATATTATGCAGTCATACTGAGCTATTATTAAATAAAGGATTGTTAGCAAGCAAACATAGCAGAAATAATGCTAATGAAAACTTTACGGAATGCGAAAATTCTTTAATTAATTCTGAATGGTTTGGGAAAAATGTCCCAATTGCAACCCTTTGTATACTTTTGTTTTTTTTGACGATTTATGTTTCAAAAACATTAATCAAGTTTCAACAGAAAATTTACCGAATTCTAAGGTACATAATAAAATAGATTGGAGCTATGACAATGATGCCGGTCAAAACATTATAAAACTGTATGAAAAGCACGTTTAGATAATAATCAGGAAAAAAAACTTTATATGCGAAAGGGATGGTCTATCATTTCGATCAAAGTTCAAAGCGTAATGACTAAACTTTTTCTTTTAACAATATAAAGCATAAAATGATAAATTTTCATTAACCACCCATGACATGACATATCCGCCTCTTATTATGTGCCCGATTTGAGAGCTTTTAATAAAATAATAGTAATATAATGAGGAGGAAAAGAATTTAATTTTTTGCAAACGATTTATACAGTTTATTGCCGCGAGAAAACGCCCATCAATCTAGTGTTGGTGTAATTTTTTTTATTTTATATTACTTATGTTTGTTATCTGAATGTACAGTAAAACTGATAACAGCAAAAATGTGTGGATGAATGTTTGTAAAACTTAACTTTCTCGGTTATTCACATTCATCTATGTGTGTGCAAAAAATGCTACAAAAAGTTTTAATGATTTTGTTAAGAATAGGATTGGAAATAAAAACAAGCAAAAACCAAATAAGAGGAACTGATTTCATGTTCATCATTGTGTTATTTTAAACAAGACTGTAAAAACTTATGAATAGTGCTAGATCTTAAATCTACCATAAAACAATAATGTGTTCATTGAAGGAATGCATGAAATGCACCAATTTTCTTTATGCATGCATTTTACAGCATATTTTTTTATGTTTCTCTTGTATATATGCATGCGTGTCAGTCATCGTGTGTTTGTTATGGCAAGAAATTTGTAAATATTGAATATCTCGCTCTTTTAGGACGGAAACATGATTTTTTTTGTGAAACTTAGCCGGAATTATATATAGCACTTATAATTATAGGTTTCAAATAAATGTCGTCAGCACTAAAAAAATATGAACATGCTAGACAAGCAAGTTCAAGGGCGATAAAATTTAATGTAAAAGAATTCGAATTCTCTCAATACGCCGTCCGCTTTTAACTTGTCGAAGTCAAACATAATGCTATTAAATCATGTGAATATTCTTTTTTTGGATCTCACAATACATTTTTTTATCATCTCATTTACTTTATTCTCTCTCCTTCATCTTATTCTTATATATATGACCATTTCGTCTCTACGCTACCACACGAAGTTTTTTTTTTGTTGCTCATTTCGACTGTAAAATTAATTGTGCCGCACACTGAATAAACGATTTATTTTTGCCTGATTTTCTATGGGAATAAGGAAGTGATGTGGAAGTAGCCATCATTTTTATCACTTTTGATAGCTCACTTAGCATTCACAGCAACCGAAAAAAAAATAAATGAATGAAGAGTTCCAATTTTTCTGTTTGTTTGATGCGTCTTTTTCTTCATTCAATATTTCGTTGTCGGTGTATGTACAGAATAATAATTATATGAAGAAATTGGAATGAATGCGATGGAAAGAAAGGAAATTAATATGATGATAATCTCTTTTTCACAAGTTCCGAAAAGAATAGAATACCTTCCCATTGTAGCTGTAAAAGTATATTTCATGCAAAACTATCCAATTTGATAAATTTCGTCACAATAAATATCCTCCCTTTTTTTCAACAGCTAATAAGAATTTCACGTATTAGATGATTCATTGTAGAATTAAATTCTCAAGACTCGCCTATGACGTAGCGTTTAGCAAGATTTAACTGTTCATTTTCGCAAAAGTATTCACTTATTTTATTAAATTGATTCATTTTTGCACAATTACCATTTAAATCAACTATCTCTCCACGTCGTAACTCGTTTATTTATCACAAAATGCACTTAAAATTCTCACAACTTTAATTTTTTTCTATCTCTCACTTTTACTCTTATTTTAATTCACAATTTTATGCCTTTAAAACAATTTTTCTATGTTATCTTCATCATTATTCGATATTTTGACTACTTATGTGCGTTTATATCGATTCCACATTAATGGAATCTATTTATAAGTGCTTTAATTAAGCAATTTTAATATTTTTTTAAAAATTTCGTTTGTTCTTTTTTTTGTGATCTTGTTTTTTCACTTTACTACCCATTCAAATTTATTTTCACCGTTAAACTTCGCATTGCTATTATTAAATTTTGTAGAGCAAAATTACGAGGAAATATGTGTAAACGAACGTCCATAATATGTGTTTTTTCTTTAAATAAAATAAATATCTTTATAATGACCAATATTTAATGTTTTTAAGGTGCATCTTATTCAACGGATTAATAAAAAAATTCAAGTAAATGATGCTGTACTAAAAGTTGTTGGAACTCTACTCACGATTCACATACAAAACGCATTCTAGCCGGGCTCATTAATGTTTTAAAATAAAAATGTTTTACATAAACGTGCGAAGCAATATTATGGTGAATTTAGTCAAATTGTGGTGAATTTTTCCGAGTAGTGGTGAATTTAGAAGTCATGTTTGTTTACAAATTTTAAAATGATTAATTTAATTATTTATGAGTAAATGAGAGCAATAACAGGTCAAAGTGATCAAAAATATGTGCAGGAATGTGAAGTTTAAGCTAAAAGTCACGAAACGAAACAGAAAAACTACTTAACGCAAAGAAAAGTCGGAATTAAAAAATTATTAACAATTTGAAGAATCAATTGTGCAAAATATGTATAAATAAGAGGAAAGAGAAGTTCAGATGGTTTAGAAGAATCGTGAAAACTGAAAAGTTTCAAAAAATTGACTGGAATAGCATAAATAAATAAAAGAAGCGTGTAAATAAAAATAAAAACTCAAGAAAAACAATTCTTTGGAAAAAGATTAATTCGTTTAAAAATAGCTTAAAAATGCCGCGAAATAGAACAACAAGTGATTCACGCCAGCCAATTTTACAAGATCCAGAGATTTCTTATTCTACAAGCGATGCATTAAATGAATTGAATATCCCAGCATTAAAACGTAAATTATATAAAAATAAATACATATAGCTTTATTTTTCTGGCTGTTCTGTTTTCCTCTATCAGTTACTAATCTTTCTTAGTCATAACATGAAATATCTTGAACATTAATTAATAACACATTCATATTTGACGCATTTTGTTTATCATTCTTTTTAGAGATATTACTACAGCGCGCATGGGAGCACTGGAATGTACACAAGAATGAGAAATACGCAATATTTTATCAGACAATTTCCTTCTGTTTATCATCGACATTGTCTCATCAGGAAAATTTAGATTTATCCAGTTATCTAGAGAAAATAAATAATGAGCTAAGTTATCAAAATAATGAGAAGCCTAGCATATATAATTATTCTAATTTTGAAGATATTAATAAATACCTCGAACGAGAAATTGCATCAACATGTCGACATCAGTTCCCAAAAGAATGGACAGTAATACAGTTGTGTAAAAATTTTAATCCTCTAACGCTCTCTAGTAAATATGAGGATATAATACAATTTAATACCGGTATTTCGATGACAATTTTTAAACATACAGCTGTTAAGGATATGCTCATGCTGGAAGTAAGGAAACAATCACAGTTAGAAAATATATTTGAAAAGACTTACAAAATTAATAAGAAAATAAGTGATAGCTTAGTCTATCGTTCTACATCAATTGCATCAGAAAATCAAGAAAATAAGGAGAAATATTGGCGAGCTTCAAAGGATATTGAAAATTTCATACAAGACGTTGTAAAGTTGCTTACGTCCTTTTTTGGACCATGGAAGGCACTATTAACAGGAAATTTTAAGAATCGAAAATCGATTGAGATAGAAAATGAGATTAGAAAGAAAGTTATTGAGTTCCTTAAAAAGAAAAATTTTACCGACTATCAAGAGAAATTAATTCACCTTATTGCACGTCGTACTGATCTCCTGTCTAATCAGCAAATTTTTGTTGCAATAACATACATTCTACAAGATAAGTCAAATCTTGGATATAACGATGTTGACCTCAATGACTTATATGATCATCTTACTTGGATTAAACAGGAATATAAATATGAAGATACTTCGACATACCCATGTATATTAATTATTGATGAACTACTCGACCAGATGCCTTTCGAAATGATCAATCCACAACAGGAATTTACACGTATTTGCTCCTTTTCGGGTTTAAAACAGTTGTGGGAACATCACTGCAATTCAATTGATAATAATGGATATCTTATGACACCAATATCAAATTGCCAGGCAATCGTGAATCCAGATCAATCACTTACAAAAATGGAGGATCGTTTGAGGAACTTTTTTAATTATTGGTTGCCATCATGGAAAGTTATGTACAATCAAATGCCATCAAAAGAGCAATTTCATGATATTTTGTCACAAAGTGACATTTTTGCCTATTTTGGTCATGGATCTGGTTTTGAGTATTCATTTAATGAAAATATTTATGACATTAAAACAAATGGTATTGTCTTTCTCTTTGGTTGTGGCTCAACGAGTCTAACTTCAATTGGATTAAACAGTGAACTGAAGGGACCTCATGCATTCTATCATTTGGGAAATTGTCCAACGGGTATTGTCATTAGCACTCTTATTATGATTATGTAATCTAATTATCCTTATTTTTCACTTAATAATTATTAGTAATCGGTTTTCTATGGACCATCACGGATTTTAATACGGATCTTTGTGCGACAAGAATTCTCAGCTCATGGATAAAAACATCGTCGTCAAAGGCACATTGGCAATTAATCGACAAAGCATTATGGAAAAAGAACGGTAATTTAGGTGAGAAAATTGAATTTAATTAAGTCTCATCATTATCAAAGTCAATAACATTTTCTTTCTCTCTTCCATCTCCTGCTGTTGACATGAAAAAAATATTTTGCAGCTTTCACCAAAACTATCGAAATCATCTCATCCGATAGTTTATCAGAAATTATCACAAAAATGCACAGCGATTCTGAGCTTCCGATTTCATTTAGAGCGGCTTTAGTTTATCGTGGTTTACCTGTTATTGCTAGTGATAATTCAATACAGAATTCCTATAAATACTAAAGATTTTCAACTGAAAAGGATGTGTAAAACTCAAAATATACGAGAATTGAAACTGAAAAATGAAAGAAATCAAAAGCCTTTTTTGGTTCTAATATGCTCAACAGTTTTTTTTAAAATAAAAACAAAAAATACGCAGCTCAGCGTAAGGCTTTTTATACATAGTAAAATAATTAATAATCATCAATCATACGCTTCATCTTTTTACATTTTAACGATTATTTTCTAGCAAATTTTATTTCATTTTTTTAAATATTCAATTTTTCTGTAAAGAAAGAAATGTATAAAGTGAAAAGAAGATGATTTGGAAAAGGAAGAAAAATGTGAAGGATCATAAAAACAGATCCTTTTGTGTTCAATAAACTTAAAAGCGTAAAAAATATACCAAAGTGTGTTTTAAATTCCCATTTATCTGTTTAGTCCTAGCACTTTAACAGAATTTTGATCAACTATACATTTTTGTACAAATCAAAATGCTTCTATGCAATGTAACAAGCTGCAATTTTCATGAAATCATAGTTGTTTAGCCAGAAAAGCATTTTGAGTCTGAATATTAATATCATCGATGAAACATACAAGTGAGCATTCTATTGAAACATACCAGTGAGCATATAGACTCGAACTCTTGTCTTACAGTTTTCAGTAACAATCGTCTTTACTAATTTATGGGTTAGTCCAATATGCGTCCAATTTTTTAAAAAGGTTACATGTCTTTTCATTTTCTTGATTCGCCGATAGCATTTCTTAAGATTATTTTGTTGCAATTAATCAATCGTATAGTTTCTAGAAATTTAATTCGTGAAACAAAAAAAAGTTTCTCTCGAGATCTTGTTAAAATTAAAAGCTTTTAAAAACAATTTATTTCTCTTTAATTTGCTCGAGTATTCTTTCTTGAGCAAAAAGATTTAGCAAAGCATAATGATGCTGCAACTGAAAAATTGAGTTTTTATGATAATTGATTTTTTTCAAGATATTTTATGTCTTATTTTTTTTATAGCTTTGTGTAATGGTCTCATTCTCATAACTTCATTAATCAAAAAACATCTTCCCTAGCAGAAATTTACTAGTAATTTCCTAGTAATTCACTAGATAACTTTCCATTTGCTACTTGCTATTTACTAGTCAAAATCCAAGTTCAAATCATCGCCAAAGACCCGCATTTTCACTTGCTATTTGACTAGTCAATTCGCTTGCAATTTAACTAGTAATTTACTAGCAAATTTGGAAAAAAATTAAATGAATATAACCGTTGATTTCCACGTGTTCTTTTGATTTTTTTTATTTGTGTAAATTATTGTAAAAGTATTAGTGTGTACTTAGTTGAAGTTAATTAAAGTACACTAACACTATGATAAAAAGCAAAAGACTTAATTTAATTAAGTCGAACACTGATGAACGCCCATGACTCGCACGCAAACCTGAGGAAGATAAATAATTAATTGAATGTCACATACAACTTTGGATCGACCTTATAAAGGTAATTTCTGCGCGCTCTTGTGAAGTATATGGCAAATGCCAAATTTAGAACAAAATTCTTTATGACGCAAAAAATTCTTTTTTTGATGATTTTTCGTAGGATTCGAACTTAAGAAGATTTAATCAAACATTTTACATGGTAATTTGCTAGTAATTTGCTATTAATTTGCTATTAAATATGAAGTGTAATTTACTAACAGTAAGTTGTTTTAATAATTACTAGTAAATTGCAAGTAGTAAAATAGAAAGACTAGCAATTTGCTAGTTAGTCTCGCTAGAGCTTTCGTATTATTTTTTTTTTTTGAAGTTGTTATTTTGTGTTTAACTTCTTCGGTATGTTGTTTTCAGTCGTGTTTTGAATTTTTCTTTTCTTAAATTAATTCCTTTTTCTTTGTGGATATCCCTTGCACATATAATTTTTTTTTTCAGGATTAATTCCAATGGCCAGAGATTATGTCTCTGAATCGATGGTCTATGTAATGACTTTAATATTTTCTTTTTTTTGGTGTGAGCTATTATCATTATTGAAAATAATAGAACTTAAACAGAACTGGACTAGACATTTGAGTTACAAGAGATTTAAATAATTTTTAAATCGAATATTCCTGAATATTCCAATACTTTGCACCAAACAATTTTTGTTTGTTATAAAAAGCAAAATGATTTTTTTCTTATTTATTTTTCAATTCTAATTCTATGATACGATAATTATGGAGTATGTTTGGTCAGATCAACGAAGAGAGATGTAAAAACCAGATGATAAATGATGTTTGAATCCTGCGAAGAAAATATTTCTATTTTATTTTCAATAAAAATTAAAGGTATCTAAACATTTAAAGTTATAAGAAAAACGACCATAGTAGTTATCGTTGCTGTTTGGCAAATAATAAAAAATGAGTCATAAAATTTTCAGACAAAATTTACTTTTATTGATTGTTAAACAACTGAATCCTCTTTACTTTGATATTCAAAATTTAATCGGAACGTTATCTAAAGGTTTGTTACTGATTTTGTAAATTATCCATAAACGTACCTAGTTTCAATTTTTGCATCAACAAATAATAAACAAGTTTACTGTAGATATTATGGTTGAAGTTTTACTGTAAGAAACTGGCTTTAAGTCTCATGAGGGATGAGATGAGATATTTATAGCTTTGTAATTCCATTTGGAAAAATTGTGGTCAGTAACATCAAGCTACAAGACAATAAGATTTTAGAGAATAAATAAGTTATCCGAAAATCACTAGAAAATATAAAAGAAAGGAACGGAAAAACAGAATAGCTTAACATCATATTGACATCATGATGTCATTCAATAATAGAATGAGATAAGCAGTTAACAGATTGTAATGGTATGTTTTGAAGATAAAGCAACAAATGGTATCAAAAATAGAATTTTTTAGAATTAAAATAAAAAACTTGTAAAAACTATATCATATTTCAAACTTTGTACAAAGATATTGAAAGATATCTAATATTTAGAGCAAGGCCATAGAACTCCTTGCACTATGTCTACAATCACTACTTTTTTACTCAACTTTATAAATTTTTACTTATGTTTCAGTACACTTACTATACAATGTATCACAATCACTGCAATTACTAAACTTTACTGCACTTAACTCTTTTTTACTACTCTTTACTTTACTTAAGTACATTAACCTATACTTTACTACACTTTACTTTACTTTACTTTACTTTAGTATACTTAAGTACATTTTGCTTAACTTTACTACCCTTTACTACACTTTAGTGCACTTTACTCGTACTTTTCTGTACTTTATTTTTAATCAAATTAATTAGTGCATAATTTCAATCTAAATAGTTATAGGCCTCTTAAACATGTGGTCCATTAATACGTTGTAATCATACTTTCAAAAAACAAAAAATAAAATAAAAGATTTTGCAATCATTATAAAAATTTAAAAGAAAATGTTTAAAAACTTAACTAAAGGTTATAGAATTTAAAATATTATTTTTTTATTTTTTTATTATTCTATCATTTTAAACCATATTTAGCTGATGGAAAAGAAAGAGCTTACAAAAACATAAAGCACTAATGCTACTAAGGCAGAAATAGTTTCATTCATGTCAAAGAAATTTCTAATTGATACCTTTAGTTTGTAAGGAAATTTGTCAAAAATAAAATAAAAGTATAGTATAGAAAAATCGAAAAATTTAAAAAAAAATCTAAAATGTTGTGCTTTTGTTTTTAAAAATGAGTAATTTTAATTGAAAAAATTTTTAAAAAATTATGAAAAATTTTAATTCGAATTGACTCGAATTTGATTTTTTCACGTAAGCTTATGGGCAAATCCGCGGGCAATAAAACGCTTCAAAATTTTGTTTTTCTCAAATTTCTCTCCTATTTGACTTTTAAAGTAATGATTTAATACCAAATCATGCGTAATTTTGAAAAATTAACAACTTTTGATACTTAGCACAAGATTAAAACATTTAATTAAAGAGATATTTTGAATTTAATAGCGTTAATCGATCCTGCGCACGAAAATTTCATTTTGAAAAATCCAAAAAAAATACATGTTTAACGAGTTAGACAATATGGCTTGCAAGTTATTGCATTGGAAATGCAATTTTGTATCATAAATTGACATCATTTCTTAAATATACGTACTCAATTTAAAGTAATTAACAAAAAATAGCGTTAATCGATCCTGCAGAACGTTTTATTGCGAAACTCAAGATAATGCATTGTTGCAAAACACACAATAATATTTAAAATTTTAGAAAACGTTGGAAAATTTTCAGTCCTACAATTCATACATTATCATACATATAACTGTGCTGAACATATATTAAACTTTAATTATAAATTTTTCTGCAATAATTTATTGATAAAAACCATCCAAAATAATTTAAGCAACAGAATAATAACTTTTTATGAAGAAATTTTAACGTATTTTATTTTTTTGAATTCAAGCAAGTAGAAAAATATTACAACTCGCTTTTTCCCAGTTCATGCTTTCTGCGGATTTGCCCTTATATTAAAAAAACTAATGAGGACGATTTGTGTTAAGTTTAAATTTTTAAAAAAAGCTATAAATACAAGCTTCATATAAATTAGTTTCAATTTATTTGCATTTCGAAATTGAATGAAGGGACTGTAGAAAAACAATATTTTAAATTTATTTTGTAATAATATGTTGGCTTTTTATTTCAACAAGATTAACTTTCCAAAAAAAACTTTTTAAAAATATATATCAAAAGTGTTGATAACATTTAATTTTTTCTAAAACCAACAATATCAAAAACATTGATTCTCACTATTCTTTCGTTACTATTCTTCGTAATTAGGAAGGCATCCTTAATGTTGAAATATTTGAATTTAGTTCAATAGTTTTATTTTTTACATGAGAAAAACTTCATTTATATTTACATTTTAAATATATTTTATATATAAAATTTCAAATAATAAGCGGTTCTTAAGTTGCGATAATATTGACTATTTATAAATAAATTGAATGGTAAAATAAACATTACTTCAAAATTAATTCAAAATCAACTTTAAACATTTTGGTTTTTAAAGTTTTAAACAGTTTTATGTTGCTGCACTTTCTATACTTTTACTACACTTGCTATACTCTCACTATACTGACTATACTTTTACAACACTTTACTACACTTAAACTACACTTGCTACACTTTTGCTACACTTTGCTACATTCTACTATGCTTTGGTTAACTTTGCTTCACTTTACAATATTTAACTATACTTTGCTCATGTTAACTTAATTTTGCGCAATAGTTTGTATACGTTACTGCACAATGCTCACTCACGGGTATACTATTTTGGGAGTTCTATGGCCTTGATTTAGAGTCTAAAGATTCGCTTCATTTACGAAAAGACGGATGTGGACAGAAAAGTCTCCTTCTATATGTACATCCAATATTGTTCAAACAAACACTCCACTTCTCATC